TATATATATTCCTACGCTTCTCTCTCTCTCTCTCTCTCTCTCTCTCTCTCTCTCTCTTTCTCACTTAATTCTAACGCCCTCGCGAAGTGACCGATCGCGGAATCTTACCGAGCAAAGTTTAACTCGTCACCGAAACCATGCGATGCATTAGACGTGAAGATATGCCGCGGCTATTTAAATGCACATTTATTATCGTTAGATATGAGTAACGTGATTTATTTTTCAAGTCAAAACGCAAAGAAATTATTTTTATTAAAAATTTCGTGCATTTTTTGAAACTTTATATCGCACTTTTTACTTCATTAGAGGCACGATATAAAAATAATCTTACAATTTGAGAATTCATCGAGCAACTTAATGACTTATAAGTTACTCTGTTAAATGTCCCGTATTTAAAGTTAGTAAATAAATAAATTTTAAAAATTCTTTCATAAGTGTTTCTAAACGATATTATTTTTTTTTAACGAATACATATGGAAATTAAATAATATATCTGCAGTTGAATATGTTTGATATCCGTTATTTGGTATAGTGTAAAGTGATATATAATTTCCTTTCCTTACGTGACTGATATTTTTTTCAATGAACAAGAAATAAATAAATATCAAGAAAGCAAAATATCATTTAATCATCTAATATTTATAATATATGCGTATTATAAGAATAGATTAATATCTTCATGTAATGAAAAAAATATCCGTCGCGCAGAGACAGAAGAAAATAAATTAAGAGGGATTCTCGAGTATTCAAGAGTATTACAGAGTATTCAAGAGTATACACTTTCATCTACCCACTAAATTTTTCCGTGATATTTGATGTAATATCATTCGAGACGTGACCCTAAGTTTATTTCTTTTTAAAGTATGACATGTTGCACGAACTGATAGACGCAGATAAGCAGATATCGCATTTATTTATTATCTATTCTGTTGTCTCAAAACTTTCATTCCTACACTTTCTCAATGATAACGTAATTCACTCATTAATGCATACCAATATTACGTAAGAAACGTTCACATATATGTCCTACTATAAAATATAAGATATACTTTTTCCATGATGAATCTATGTAAACCGAGATTCCTCTATATCTATATTTATCTCTATATCTTATCTCTATATTTATTATTCGATTATCCAGGCTTTTCTCCGCTTTTCCAGAGATGACCCGGTCACTTAATGCATTCCTAGTTCGAAAAGGTCCAGATAATCAGCCCGGGACTTTTCCCGGAAATTAGTATCAATGTAGATTATCGTAAATGTTAGATCACGTACACATGTTCAAGGTATGATTAACCAAGATAAATGTGCGGACATGAAATATATAATGAGTGAATGTCGTCCAAAAAGCTGCCAAGCTGGTTTCGAAAGAATAACTGGCCGAAGCAAGTTTGACGTATGCATCTCTTTGAAAAGATTTGATTCGAACGATTCTCGAGAATAATTTTTTATTTTATTTTTACTTTTTAATTTTCTCTTTCTCTGTTTCTCAAATGTTTAATTAATAAAATAAAATACATTTAATCGAAATTGAGGAAGTAATTGAAATAAGGTGTCTTTATTTTAATCAATCTCACTTTGACGATGAACAATTGCGTAAAAGTTTTAACACACGCGCTTGGAATCGATCTTTCGATATGGTTTGCTGATTAATTGCGAAACAAGAGTTCTTTAATTATATATTAACCGCTAATATCAATTTGTTCGTGGCAGTAAAAATAGATTTAGTTAACGTGGACGGACTAATTTGCCGAATGATACGATGTAATATAACATAATATAACATACGCGAGATGAATTGCGACTTGTCACTTTAGGAAGCTATCTTGGTTCTTGTTTATAAACAAAAAGTCCCCTTCGTGATAATACATAATGGCATTCTTTTTTGGCCCGCTGTAAATGAACTCCAAAGTCGCGTGTATAAATAATTAAGATGGTTGAAACTTATACGTTATCATTTGTTCCAATTCTAATCTTTCAGTTGGGATATCACGTTGGTTCCATGATAAAATGCGTTCCATAATAAAACAGACTACCGATTAATGTCAGACAATTATATCGATATTTTTTCACCGGTAGACAGTAATGCCATAGCGATAAGAGAGGAGCAAGAGTTCATTTATAGACATCACAAAGAGACTTGTTCTCGGCATTTTCCATTCCGTCGGAGACGCCCGTTGTTCATGAGGTCAAAACGTTTCGTTTGAATTTTACACTTTCATACACGTGTTGAACACGTGCTTTTCTCCAAAATGAAGTTAAAAACGAACTTTTTGAAATCTAATCCATGATGAAAGTCTAGCCTGTGACATCTCCCAAATTTAAATATGGAGTTACGGTTAAAATGAAAATTTTTATAGAAAGTCCGTGCTCGCAAAAATCTATCTTTCTAGAAAGCAAATCAGTCATCCTGAAATCTCGTGTTATTCAACATAAGTCTAATTCTTCATTTCACTCATGTCTCTCTTACTTATTCGTGACTACAGTGTTGACAACGAAGTGTCGAAAGCGTAAATAATCGTCTGGGATACACGCGAGCTGTTCACACGGGGAAGTTCAAGATTCTCCGTTGCAAGGGAAACATCCAGGCTTGTTGCAGACACGGATTCGCCCGTCCAATGCGTTCGTGACTACTGCATCACGCTGCATCAGCCATGGCACATGCTCGAAAAACCGGCGTAATTTCGACAAGACCGGTTTTATAATACTACGAAGACTCCTCGACTTGCTGCGACGAGCATAATAACGGAAGAACGTAATACACGCTACAAATGGCACCGTATTTCCATTCCATTCTGCGATAAATCAAATAGAGAAGAAGACGGAGAAATCTTCACGTCAAGATGTATCATCGAAATCCGACTTATCAAAAAACGATATCGTTGCTCCGATGCTAATTTTTGCACGCGTGTTTTCCTCACGCATGTCAAGCGGAATAATGCGTATATCGCTTCGAAGATGTTGCAGTTTTGCTTTGAGAATGTGGAGGAGGGAGAATGGAAAATTTTGTTCGCCAAGTGCCAAGAAACTATTCTATTTTAGTTACTATTGTAGTTAGAATTAGACGTATCTGAATTGTATAGACTCGGTGTTGTAACGTTATATTGTGTAAATAGTAAATATGTATGTACTATATATATATATATGTACTATTTTGTGTGTATAAAAATATATAACATTATTATATCTGCGTCAAAAATTACAAACAATAAATTGATGATTTTACTGAGAAAGTTCGTCTTTGCAAATGATTTATAAAAATTCATAATTTCAAATTTTTGTGAAAAAATAGAATGTATAAAATATTATAATTTTAAGTCCATATTTATACTTTGCATATCGAAAAATGCGCTTTTAAACGCATTTAATATATAATTTATATTATATATTATATGTGATTTTATATTATAAAATATACTATAAAATCTCAGAAATAAATAAACGTATTTATTGATAAAAGTGAGCTATTATTAGTGAGGTATATTAATATAGATATAATTTAGCTAAAGCTTTCTTTTATTACTTAATCTATTCTATTACTTAATTATTGTTTTCTTGATCCTCTTTTTAGATATATTTAAAAGTAATTTAATCTCAATTTTTAGAGCATACTTATTAATAGGTGATTGCGGATAAAATCATTCGATATATGATTAATTCATTATCTATTTTCTAGTTTAAACAGTTGTCTCTCCTCCTTTTTCTCTCTTTCTCTCTCACACTCGGTAATTATATATTAAAATAATTAAAACAGAAAAATTTTGCATGTAAATTTAAATGTGAGGGAAAATCTTCAAATAATGAAACATATGTTTTTTAGTAATAAGCGCACATTAGCGAATCGATCGAATCAGCCATGAGGGTCCAAAGAATTTAAATCTCTCACGCGCGTCATGTCAACAAACTGATGTGAAAGATCGTTAAATAACGTGTGTTACTTACTAGTTTCTCGCAGTAACGGCAGACTCCTCAGACCTGACGAGGAGCGGATTTAAATAACTCTCTCACAGACGTTCGCTCGGTTTCGCGAGCTGTGGCAGCGACGTCTTCCTTCCTCCGTGTCACACGGGTTTATCCTTTCTTCGCTCTTCTTACTTCGCGGATCTTCGAGATCCGACAAGTCTGCAATTGCCGGTTGCAGTTGTGCTCCGTTTCTCGGATATACAATTTCTTCTTTCTCATGCCATTGTACGCAAGATCGCGACTAGTGCCGGGCACCACCACGATTGCGAATCCGATCTTCGCCGCACGGGATATAACAAACAAAAGCGGAGCTCTTGTGCAAAAGACGCCGGTCGAGCTGATGGAGGACCGGCGGGGAACAGTTGGAACGGCGATTCTCTCCTCCTCATGTGATAACGACCGTTGCGTGGCGCATCGTGCGCGTGTCTACCACCGACTCCAATCCGCACGTTCTACGGCAGCGGTTTTATCACACGACGACAGTCAGACTCCGAGAAGTCGCGCGATATCTCTCCGCGCACACGCGTACAAAAGAGACGCGAGAAGAGAAAGGACAGAAAAGATAAAAGTTACGTGCTTGTGCGTGTGTATGTTC